GAATATTGGGTTAAGTGCCTAATAGTATACATACATATACTTACACTTAGTAATTTAGCGTATCGATTAGGTAATTTTATAATACTTATTTACAAATACAGAATCTAATATTGATTCTGATTAATGATGCTTCTGAAACTAAGAGAACATTGTAAATTCATCAGATTAATTAGTGGTCCATATTAACATAAGATATACAGTACACTTATTAGCTTTTCTTGACTACCAGACTCGATTGATGTGATGAAAAGGTACACTAACAAGGTAGAATCATAATTAAATACATCCCTATATACACCCTTAAAATTTCTTTTGGTTTATGTCTTCAAATATGAAAACTATTTTGTGAGTTAATGAATCGGGCAATGATGTAAACTGAATAAAGAAATTGCAGGCAAAATACGACATAGCCATTAAGACTTGTCTCATTCAAAGCTTTTATTTCATCCGTCTTGCATATGCTGATTCTAGATTCTACCAGCATAGTCCAAAACCAACATGCAGGCATAACCAAACACAGAGAGAGAGAGAGAGAGAGAGAGAGAGAGAGAGAGTATAGCTAGCTGTTATCAAGTAATGAATTCATCAAGCTTTGAACTTTGACCTGAAGGTGTGTGCTTGCTGTAGAAGAGATGATGTATATACCTGAAATAAAGCTGTGCTTGGGAAGAGACCTTGTATATATCCTTAGGTAAAGAAGTTTTTCTATTGTTGGTGTGAGTGATTGAAGCTGCAAGATGACCTGGTACAAGAACCTTACATATATCTAGCTAGTAATTAAACTAAATATATATGTAATTAGCAGGATGTCAGTTCTCTTGGTTAATTAATTGACTAAAAACCCTTCTCTTCAAAAACATGAAATTATCAAGATCTATAAGAAACGATGGCATCCACCAAAGTTTGGTTCTGTATATCCAAAAATCAATCTCTACCTATTTGGCCATACATATATATTTATAATTTGGTACTGCAAGATCTAAAATATATACATATATATATATATATATTACTAGTAGTGTGATGCTGATATAGCTATAGGTTAAGTATACCAGATCATGCTGGCAGCTTCAAGCTCTCAAACCAACAAAACCAGACAAGGGAAGAAAGAAGCAAGACGCTGCATAAAGGTTTGGCCTTTGATGGAAATTAAGGCTCTTTTTAAGCAACCAGCTGAAGCTCCTGGCACACAAACACTCGAGGCATGCATGTTTTAGGTAAGAGAAAGAGAAGCCTCGTGACAATTCTCCCCCTACAGCTCTCTCTAGCTATATCTTCCTCCCTCATCTGCATAAATGCTAGCTTTTATGCACCTCTAGCTCTCTCTCTCTCTCTCTCTCTCTCTCTCTCTCTCCTCTCCTGCTCTACTGTAGCATTAAGAGTCAGTATTTAATTGTGGGTTTTTTTTGTCCTCCTTACAGCTATTGACCTGACCCATTGCCATCTCTCTCTCTCTCTCTGTGTCCACAGTAATTTACATATTAGTTATAGTAGCATATTATAAATGAATTTGAAGCTTAAAGAAGGGACCACCATGTTCTGTTTACAAATATAATATTAAATCCCAATAAATTACCCTTTTATTTTTCTTCTTCTTCTATTTTTTTTTTTTACTTCTCCCAGATGATTTTTCAATCTCAGAGAAAACAAATTCCATTGTGTAGTCAAACCCAGAGAGTTGGTTTAGTTCTGCTAGCTAAGTCATACCTAAACATGTCAAATTTGTTCACCTAGTTGACTACATACAGGGATCAATTTAATCAAATTGTTCATGGTGATTTTACAGTGTTTATTAAGGGACATTTTGGAAAAAGCAAAAGGAGAGAGAAAAATTTTAAAAGAAGCAAAAATGGACAAAAATGCCCTTATTTATTTTTAGATTTCCTAAGGAATCCAATACATTTGCATGTCTTTGATTTGAAAGTTGAGTGGTTTTTTTGTCTTTTTTGAAAAAGCTTTGGCTTTTTCCAAAAGTGAAATTTTTTTTATGTCTAAAACCTAAAAAACCTGTTTATTATTAATACAACCTGGGAGACTGGGATATATATTATATTAGATGTTCTGTTTCAAACAAATTGGCCCAAAAGAGAAGCTTCAAAAGTTGAGCATGCTTTTTTCTTGGTCTGAAAAGTTGAGCATGCTTTGCCTTGTTATTGTTACATTTGACGTGTCTTTTACTCAAAGTATGGTTCCTGTTTCTCCATAACTCTTTAGGATGGTGACAATTAGTAGACCTCACCTTACTGTCAATTGATTTCTTTAACTTTAATCACTATCAAAACTGTGGCCTGCATGAAGTGTGCTTAAGTTTCCAGAAAGGCAGCTGACATGAACTAACTGAAGTTGGCTAGAACGGATGTACTTCTCAGTCTGTACCCGAGTTCGAATTTCCCTTTTATAAAAAAAAAAGTTTCCAAAAAAGCAAGTTCTTGCCAAACAGTAAATTATAAGAAAACCCTTTGAATTTCAGTCCAAATTTCCATACAAAAATCTTGATCACAGCAATTAATTAAAGACAAAATTGGGATTAATTAGTCTTCATTTCTAGCAGCTAACAAGAGGCTTTGTGACCATGCATGTGCTTTAGCCGCTGCCTGGTCCCTACAGGCTACAGCAACACAATTTCAATACAATAAATATACTGTGCAATAAGATTATTTATATGAAGGGCATGAAATGAATTGGCCAGGTTGGTGGAATCAGTTGAGAGTGTCCTCCTTTTTGTCTTTAGCTTTGGGTGGTTCCTCTGTCCTTGGTTGACAATTACAATGACATGCAGACAGGTCCTAATGGAAAGGCAAGGACCACCACAGACTTTTTATTAGTGGTTATTATGGATAGGGTCACATATTTTTTTGTTTTTTAATTTTAGGTCCAAGTTTCAGCTTCATTTCATTAAGTTTCAGACCCCAAAAGAAATAATTAAGGTAGGTATGGTGATGGCTGTAAGTAAAGAAATATTCCAAAATTAGGATTTTATTTGCAAACTCTATTGCCATTTTCATATATTTTTGGTTTAGTTGTTGCATGCAGATGGGTTTTGTTTGTTCTGTCTAAAATAAATTATTTATGATCAGCCTTCTGTTTAATTAGTAGTGGTGTAGAGTCATTTTGTAGATTACATTATAATCACATTTTTGTGTGATCAGAGCTGATGATGTCTTGAAAGAGAAGTACTTGAAGGTCATGAGAATGCTTATCAAGTCTTTTGTTGTCATGATCATGCATGTTTTTTTTAATCTTGTCTATTCTCATCCATCATCATATCGTGTGTAAGAAATTCCTCCTCCAGTGTAATTTATATTATCGCTTATCTCAAAAAAAAATTATGAACTTATTCTTTCATAAAACTACTAATAATCAAACATTTTAAAAGTTGATGGCAATGCCAAATTTCATTTTCAAAGTTGGGTATGTGGACATAGTGGAAATATTTTCCATGAAGCCAAGATCAACACCACATGGGAATGGATGACACATATCAAACATGACAGGTTGTGCCACCAATATTGCTTCTTCAATATTTTGTCATCCTTTTGACATTTCTATTCATCTTATTCATTGGAAAAAGGATCTATTAGGTTGTCCTATCTGCTGAGGCTGATGTTTAGGACCATTCATCAAGGAATAATTTGTATTAAAAAGTTAATTAACAACTAAAAAGAGCATTTGTAATGACTTGTTAACTAGTTAAGACTTATATCACTATAAGATTGTTTGTTTAGTGAGTGAGAGGGAGAGCTTAACCACCCCCCCATATGCCAAAGCTTTAGGAGAACCTAATTAAAATCTCAGACTCTTTAATTTTTTTTTTTATTATATTGGCTCTTGGCAATTGGCTTTTCAACCTTGTTTTGTTTGAGCTGGTGCAACTACTACTAATTAATTAATGAATACCCTCACCCCACGTTGTTTTTTATCTCAACTAGTCTCCGTTGGTTGCAGATGTTTTCAACCCTAGGCTATCTCATCAGTCTTGGCTGTAAAAGAATGGCAAGGTCGACATTTTTGGACCATCTGTTTTGATGATGGTGGCTATAAATAAATATTATTGAAAGCTCATTATTAGGATTTTCACACAAATAATAAATCATAATTTTAATTAAAAGTGGATACCAACTAAAAGTCACTTTTTTAAGTATAAGCGATTGGAGGAGGAATTCACACAAATATTCATTGGGTGTGTCTGGAAGTTTCGAACTTTTGCTCATATGAGTGGAGATGAAAGTGATCAACCAAGTGAGGCGCAAAACTAACACCCACTTAAAATTATATTGTTTTTAATTGTTGAAAGAAATTTCAAAGTTCAAACACTCCTTCCCACATTGATACAAACTAACCACTTGAATTAATTTATATTTTAAAAACCAGAATTTATTCTTCATTATGTCCTCTCACTTTTTTCTATCTCATTTTTTCTATTTCTTTTAAAACATGAACTTTTGGTAACGAGACAAGAACATGTTAGTGTAAGACATGGCCATTTAGGAAGTATTAGTGGGTTTTGGCAGCTGAGTGATTAGATTTATGATCAAGTATTTTTCAATATTAACAACTCATGTGGGGTAGGATATAATGTGATTATGTTTCCATGTTTGCTATGCTGATTGCATAAACATGTCATTATTAAGATAATGATGGTTTTGGGAGAGAGTATAAACCATGGCCAACATGTTTAGTTCAAACCAATGTAATGAGGTGATTTGATTATCAAGTGCATTAATCAAAAGGACATGATTTGAAATAATTTCTCTTGCATTGTCATCTAGGACTCGTGTCAAGACCAGAGCCTGAAAACTTCAACTTAGTTAGGCACATCCCATGTTCTCATTCCACTAGCAGCCCTAAATTCTCAATGAACTTCCTCCTCTTTTCACTTTTGTTTTTTCTTTTAGGTTTCCTTTTTCCTTGTTGAATTAGTCCATTTCTTATGTATATTTTCCGTTGAAACGATATTTTTTTCACTAACTCTTAATTTGGTGATATTTTTATTCCCAATATTGCATGAAGTCTAGAGTTTGAATCCATCTCCAAGTTACAAGTTCGATTTTGAAAACATGTATATTTCAGGGTTGGGGCACCCTCCATCACCCAAACCAACCACAAAAAATCCAACAGTCCACCCTTTCAATTACACTTGGCATTTAGCCCAACCCAGTGCCTTTCCCTTTACTGTCCTACAAAATTAGTTTAGCCCAACCCATTTCTTAAAACAATGCAAGGAGCTGAAAGCATTATCTGTCAATGGCTACCACAAGGCACACAACCTTGCCAACCAAACCTTGATGAAAATCTTGATGTTTGTTGCAATGCAAGCAAGAACCATTTTAATGTACTGATTGAATACATGCAACGAACAAAGAACCGTTTTACCAAAAACTTGAGTCGGCAATGCAATTAATTGAAGAAGTCATTTTTCTCCAATTAAAATGTTTGGCCAGTTCTGATCAGCCTGTAACTTGACAAACTCAGCCAAAAGCTTTATCTCTTCATCCTGCAAACGGGCTCCAAATGTGCACTGGCCCCTTGGCGTGCACTTCTCACCAAAACCCTGCAAAATCCCACAAGATACACTAATCTTAAGTTCAAGTAGGTGCAACGTAAACATATTGATTATGGTTATGGTTATGGTTAGGATGCAAATTTCCAAATTAATTTAGACAAACTTACAGGCATTCTTCCCTTGCCAAAGTAAGTCACACGGTATATCTCCTCTTCGGTGTCAACTCCGTTTCTGTAGAAGAAAATGCTTGAATTATTTCCGAAACAGGTCCTTATTTATAGAAGGTGAAAACCTGAAACACCTTGTTTGCTTTTTTTTTTTTTTTTTTTTTTGTTTTTTTTTGGGGGGGGGGTGGGGGGGGTTAAATAATGACAAAAGGATTGAATAAAATTGCATAT